TTTTTTTTTGTTATTCTTCCCGTTTTTTTCATCGTTTTGTTGCCTTTCAGTCACATTATAATTTAAAGAAATCGCCAGAAAATGTACCGGTCACACTTTTTTTCCTGCGGCCTTCGAATAGTTCGTAGACATATCTCTCCAACGTTGATTTACTGACGTTTTGCAAGTCAATCAATCAATATTTCACCGCCATTCATGCCGTAACCGGCGCACTTATAATGCATAAACGTGGGGGATATTCAATTCGTTGGAAGGAACTAACTTTTATTTCTCCCCTGTACGAGAGAAATCGCAAACAGAGCGCAAGCGTGGCGTTATTACTTTCCTCTTGGAAGCGTTATCGAACTGTCTATTATATACTGTGTTCAGTATCAGAGGTGCACTCGAGCTCTAATGATGCAACAATTAGAAACAAAGAGCGCGTCGTGCCTCACGACGACGGATCACGACTACAAGGAGAACGTGAATTTAAGCATTCAGTGGACCCGTTGGATTTTGAAACTGATCGGCGTCTGGCCAAATGCCACCAACGCCTGCGTAGCAAAGAAATACTTCTCTCGCCTGATAAATGCCATTTGCTACAGCCTGATCTGTTTCCTCTTAATCCCTTGCAGCCTTTACTTGGTCCTCGAGATCAAAGACGTTTACAACAGGATCAAATTATTCGGCCCGTTGAGCTTCTGCGTGATGGCGTTCCTGAAATATCATCTTCTGATCCTTCACGAGGGCGACATTCGCGAGTGCGTGAAACGCATCGAATGGGACTGGAAGAATATCACGTACATTCAGGATAGAGAGCTCATGATAACGTACGCGAATTTCGGCAGAAAGTTAGTCGTTATCTGCGCGTTCTTCATGTACAGTGGTTTCGCCTTTTATTACATCGCCATACCTATCAGCGTCGGGAGAATCCTCGCGCAGGATGCCAACGTGACGTTCATCCCCGCGGTGTTCCCTTTCTCCAGATTCATTATAGATACTCGATACAGCCCCGTGAACGAGATTGTGTTTTCCCTGCAACTGATGGCCGGCTGTCTGATGCACAGCATAACGTCGGCGGCTTGCAGTCTGGCCGCCGTGTTTGCCGTGCACACTTGCGGTCAGATGGAGGTGTTGATGAACTGGCTGAAACACTTGATCGACGGTCGGTCAGACATGTACAACAGCATCGACAACAGGATCGCCAGCGTCGTGAGACAACACGTTCGTATACTGAAGTGTGTAAGAATTTCCGACTTTGGTAAAATTGAAACAGACGTTCTCTTCTTTCGAATATTTTTTTTTTTTTTTAACGCTTAAATTTCAAAGAGACTTGAATGCCTCGCTTACAAAATTCCGATCGGAGCCTGGATTTGTTGAACAATGTTACGAAAATGTTAAATTCGCCGTATTTTAAATAATTCACCACTTATTTCAGGTTTCTAGCGCTTACAGAGAAGTCGTTGAAACAGGTGTCTTTCGTAGAATTCTTAGGTTGCATGTTAAACATATGTCTTCTTGGTTACTACGTTCTTATGGTACGAGAATGAAACATACATTTCAATAAGTATACGTCGACCTGATGCACTGTTTATCCTATGTTTCAGGAATGGAGTTCCAGTCATTTAACTAGCGCTATAACATTCTTTATATTGCTGATATCACTGACGTTCAACATCTTCATATTCTGTTACATAGGCGAGCTAGTAGCGGAACAGGTTAGACATTCTCAGCATTAACTTTTCCATTTAATATTACACTCTTCTATATCATTTTTTTCCAGTGTAAAAAAATTGGAGAGACATCGTACATGGTCGACTGGTATCGATTAACAGGGAACAAAAAGCTCTGTTTCGTACTAATAATCTCAATGGCCAATTCGTCGATGAAATTGACAGCTGGAAACATGGCTGAACTGTGCCTAACTACCTTCAGCGACGTATGTATGAAACTATTCGATTGATTTTCACAAGTTACTAAACATAAGTTACTAAACATTTGTCTCCTAGATTGTGAAAACAGCGGTCGCATTTTTGAACGTCTTACGAACACTGACATGAACGTCCTTTACAGCAAAATATAGTTTAAGTACTGTGTAATGTCTTTACGTCGCAATAAAATTTATTTGAATTGTTACTTACTCATTAACATTGTATTATAAATTAAATTAATATTTCACGTCAGTTCTAATCTCGTAATACATGGGTCACAATATCGGGATACTTTTAATAATGTATCAAGTACACGTATCTTTAGTATTCAATTAAACATGTACCAATTTTTCATGAAATTTCTCAAATTTCCTTTGTCACGAACAGAATAATCTTCGTTCACTTTGACAGTTTAACATTATTTTCTAACACTATTTTCATAGTTATAGAAGTACGTGCATCAGAGAGTACATTAAGAAACACGAAAAATCACCCCGAACGAAAATTCACCCCTTACAAACTAATTTCCCCAACCTGTTGCGGGACATGCGGCACACTCGTGGACTACTGACGCTCGAAAAAGAAATCAATTTATCGATGACCCTGGCTGTCATCAACCCTACCTTACTCATAATGCATACAGGGCATAAGCAACAAACTCAGAAGGGGTCGAACCCTCTTTGAAAAACATTAAATCTCTTTGTTCTCCCTTTCGATTGCGGGCGCACGCGCAATGTCATTTTCCATTTGAATCGTCATCGAGCCACCAGCACTTAGTAGCCAGCGAGCTCTTGAGCATCGACGATGCAAAAACAAAAGTCCGTCATGACGAAGCGTGAGCACGAGAGAAACTTGAAGCTGAGTATTCAGTGGAACCGTTGGTTGCTAATACCGATCGGTGTTTGGCCGAATTTGCGTAAATCGATAGTGGGGAAATACTTCTCCTGGCTGGTTAATATCATTTGCTTCGGCTTAATCGGCTTCATGCTCGTGTCCTGTGGCCTGTTCCTGATCATGGAGGTGAAACAAGCGTACAATCAAATCAAAATGATCGGCCCACTGAGCTTCTTCACCATGACGTTCATGAAGTACTATCTGTTGATACTTCACGAGGGTGACATTCGCGAGGGCGTGAAACGCATCGAATGGGACTGGAAGAACATCGAGCACCAAGAGGACAAAACCATCATGACAGAGAACGCGACTTACGGAAGGAGATTAGTAACAATCTGCACCTTCTTCATGTACAGCGCTTTTGCGTTTTATTACCTCGTCGTGCCAATGAGCATGGGAAGAGTCGTCGCCGAGGCTGGGAATTTCAGTTTCATCGCGTTGCCATTTCCCGCGTCCAGCTTGATCGCCGATACGCGTCGCAGCCCCAGTAACGAGATCATCTACTCCATCCAAGTCGTGACAGGTGTGGTGATGCACGCTATAACGTCGGGAGCTTGCAGCATCGCCGCCGTGTTCGCCGTGCACGCTTGCGGTCAGATGCAAGTGCTGATGAACTGGCTGGGTCATTTGGTTGACGGTCGGTCCGACATGAGCAACACCGTGGAAGGAAGAATGGCCACGATCGTTACCCAACACAATCGGGTACTGAAGTGAGTAAAATTTATTTATTACTTGTACTTTGTTTTTCACAGCAGGTATTTTCATTCGAAATAGCAAAGAATTGTTAGTTAAGAATTTTTGCCTACTTGCGTGAAATTTAATCCTTCAGGGACAATGCAACGTCTGGAAATCATACAGTTTGTAATCAATATTGATTCCCAGACGCGACATTTACTAGAAGTTAAAATTGTGCATATATATATAAATATTTACATATTATATTATAGTATAATATTAATATATATATTGCATTATATATGTAGGGGACGCGTTCCGCTGACTAGGATCAATAAACACATAAAAATAATGTGAGGGATGCGTCCCTCCTTGGGTAGTACCGTTAGTCCCATAAAATAATTGCAAATATTTATGGGACTGATCGGTATATAGAGACCTTCCTTTTCGATCCCCTGATCGGAAAGGACACAAAGGAAATCGGGTATATGAGGCCCGATTCCAACACGCGGAGATAGAAAAAGTGCGCCAGAGTTCGGAGTGAGTCCGCGAAGCATTCCTCGTTCTAAAATATATATATGAACAATTAATAATATATATATAAATTATATTATGATTGAAAAATTGTTGACATTATTATTGATATAATTTAAAAATATGAAAATTACTGAAGCGTCAGCCGTCATTCCTGAAAGATTAACATTTGCTCCAGTTTGAAAGTTTTCAGAATCTAGTGAACCGAAAATAAGGAAATTTTCCATACTTTCTAATATCGTTTTTAAATTCGAAACTTTCGAAATTCAGACACTTGAAAATCTCGAAGATTTGAAAATGCGACATTCGGTTCGTTCACATGTTACACCGATCGTAATTCATATCAATCAATTTTCAGATTTATGACACTCACCGAAAGAGCGATTCAACAAATATCGTTCGTAGAATTTTTGGGCTGCATGGCGAATATGTGCCTCCTCGGCTACTATGCTATAGTGGTACGCACGCGACGAAACATGCACGCGATTCTGCCAGTATGAACTAATCTACTAATACACGCTTAACGTTGTAGGAATGGAATCCAAAAGACTTAATGCTCACGATAACTTATCTGTCCCTAATCATATCGCTCACCTTCAATATTTTTATATTTTGTTACATAGGCGAACTAGTCGCCGAACAGGTATCTACAATCATATTTATAAAAACGAATCTTCCGTATAAAAAAAAAAAAAAAAAAAAAAAAAAAACAGATTGTTCGACTGAAATATAAATGTATAAAAACAAATAATATTTTAAAAATAGTGTAGAAAGGTTGGCGAAATGACGTACATGATCGACTGGTATCGATTATCAGGCAAAAAGAAACTTGGGTGCATTCTAATCATTGCCATGTCCAATTCGTCAATGAAATTCACAGCAGGGAATATGATTGAATTATCTATCAACACGTTCAGCGACGTGAGTAACAAATTATTATTATTACCTGTCTGAATTTGCAAATTAACAAGTATGTCTTAAACGAATAGGTCGTTAAAACGGCGGTGGCTTTCTTAAACATGTTGCGAGCATTGACATGAGCATTTTTGTAATATAGACGTTTATATTTGATCATATATAGACACTTGCCGTGTTAGAAGTGTCTATATACTAAATGATAAATGTACCCGTTTCCGGTAAAATGGTCTTAAATTTTAGTGAATTATATCACAGGAAATATTCTTTTTATTATTATAATTGAGGAGCTTTCTGAAAAAAGCCTACGGATCTATGACAAACATTGTACATAAAAAGAATAGACAGTACATATTTTCTAATTTAAATACTTTCCTCTTCTTTCGACTTTTTTCCAATGTAAATATAAAGTCATTATTATATATGATTATCAACCGCATGTACTTTAAAAAAAAAACCCAAACCAAATTTTTGTGGCGTTAGATTCACCACTTT